GACCGTGCGGCTGGAGAGACAGCCGAGGGGGGGCAGAGACAGCGCAATGCCAGAGGAGAGAGACACCAGCTGCAGTTGCTGCTGCTGCTGCTGCTGCTGCTGCTGCTGCTGCTGCTGCTGCTGGGGTGTGTGTTGCTTGTCTCTGTCTGATCGAGAAGTAACAACAACAGCAGCAACATCTGCTGCAGCATCTATCACCAAAGACGAAGCAAACACACCCACCCCCAGTCTGCTGCTCCAGAGGACCTGCACACCCAGCAGCAGCAGCAGCAGCAGCAGCAACAGCAACCTGCAGCAGCATATAACGCGGCCAGCATACACACTCCACACAGCAGCAGCAGCAGCAGCAGCAGCAACAGCAGCAGCAGCAGCAACAACACAAATTGCATGCATGGGGGCTGCAGCAACGCGGGCTTACTCTCTCCTCTTCAGTCGGGGAGTGCTTCGGCGAGATACACGTGCTGTTGCTGCTGCTGCTGCTGCTGCTGCTGTTGCTGCTGCTGCTGCTGCTGTTTACAACTGAAACGCAGACTAGGTACGGGGCCTCGTTGGTGGGGAGCCAGGCGGCCTCTGTACTTGGTCCTGCTGCTGCTGCTACTGCTGCTGCTGTTGCTGCTGCTGCTGCTGCAGTACGCTGCCGCTTGGAGGCCCTACAAGGCTCGTTGATTGCATACAGCCGCCGCTCCTGCCCTGCAGCGCAGCAGCAACAGCAGCACGAGCAACAGCAGCAGCAGCAGCAGCAACAACAAATCACTCAAGAAGTGAACCCAGTGCGCAGCTCCAGCAGCAGCAGCAACGGCAGCGGCAGCAGGAGCAGCAACAGCAACAGCTGCAGCAGCAGCAGCAGCAACAGCAACAGCAGCAGCAACACCCCGACTCACCATTCACAGAGAAGGGGACACAGAGAAAAGGAGAGAGCTTGGGAGCAGGCAGCAGATCAGCACAGCTCTGTGCTGCTGGTATACGTTGCTGCTGCAGCCGCTCTAGCGGCTGCTGCAGCAGCGGCTGCTGCTGCTGCTGCCGTTGTTGCTGCTGTCGTTGCAGCTGCTGCTGTCGCTGCTGCTGCTGCTGCTGCTGTATCCCCTCCTGGATAAGGCGGGAAGGTCTATCCTGAGAAGGCGCGGCTGATGCTGTTGCTGCTGCTGCTGCTGCTGCTGCTTTGGCTGCTGCTGCTGCTGCTGCAGCCTTAGCTGTCTTCCTAGGGCTTGCTGCAGCAGCTGCTGCTGCTATTGATGCTGCTGCTGCAACCTTTGATGGCCTCGCAAGGAGCGCTGTTGTGGGGGTAGCAGCATCGTCGTCTGTGTCTTCTTTCTCTCCACCTGCTGTCTGCTGCTGCTGCTGCTGCTGCTGCTGCTGCTGCTGCTTTTCTCTTGGGGTTTTTGGTTCTGCAAGGGCTGCTGCTGCTTTAGCTGCTGCTGCTGCTTCGTCTTGCTGCTGCTGCTGCTGCTCCTGCTGCCGGCGTGGGGTGGAGGCCTCCCGGTCTGCTTCTGTTTCGTCAGCTGTGCTGCTGTTGCTGCTGCTGCTGTTGCTGGTGCGTCCTTCTGCTGCAGCAGCAGCAATTGCTGCTTGCTCAGCTGCTTCTGCTGCTTCATCCTCCTCTTCTTCCTCTCGCTGCAGCCGCTGCAGCAGCAGCAGCTGCTGCTTGTATCGCAGCAAGAAGGGGTTCCAGTCATCCCAGGGTACATTTGGGTCTTCAAAGGAAAAAGGAGCAGCAGCAGCAGCAGCAGCAGAAGCAGCAGCAGCAGCAGGCCTCACCTCCTCCTCCTCTGCTTCGCTGTCTTCTGCCTCTGAACCCTCAGGCGACAGCACTGCAGCACCCAGCAGCCTTTTGTCTCCGCGTCTGTCTCCTTCGTCTCCATCCCCGCCGCACCCCATCTTGCTGCTGCTGCTGCTGCTGTTGCTGCTGCTGCTGTTGCTGCTGTTGCTGCTGCCTTTGCTGCAGTTGCTGCTGCTGCTACTCGATACTGGGCTCGCAGATCGAGGGCCATCGTTGCCGCTCGAACTGTTGCTTCCTTTGCTTCTGCTGCTGCTGCTGCTGCTGCTGCTGCTACTGCTGCTGCTGCTGCTGGAAGACGACACCGAGGCTATGTCGAGCTGGTGCTGCTGCTGCTGCTGCTGCTGCTGCAGTTGCAGCAGCGGCGTGTGTGCTGCTGCTGCTGCATCAGCAGCAGATTCTTCCCTTTTCCGGTTGCTCTGCCTTTGAGCGACAGCTGCAGCAATACTACGCAGCAGCTGCTGCTGCTGCTGGAACAAAACTGCTACCTTGCTGCTGCTGCTGCTGCTGCTCGCCGCAGCAGGTCCAGCAGGAGCAGCAGCAACAGCCGCACGGCAAGAGAGCGTCGGGTCTTTCCCAAGAGGTGAATCCGCCCCCCAAGCAGCAGGAGCTGCAGCAGTTCCTGCTGCTGTTCCTGCTGCTGCTGCTGCTGCTGCTGCTGCTGCTGCTTGTGTTGCAGGAGAGTAAGCAAGAAGCTGCTCGACGTCATTCCAGCCGTTGCGGTGTCTGTACACCCCAGTGACATCTGGCGAAGCAAAGGCGTAGACGAGGCTGCTGCTGTTCCTGCTGCTGCTGCTGCTGCTGCTGCTGNCTGCTGCTGCTGCTGCTGCTGCTGCTGTGGTTGCTGTTGCTATGATTGTTGTTGCTTCTGCTGCTGCTGCTGCTGCTGCTCTGCTGCAGCAGATTATCTCCTTGCAGTTCGCAATCATTCGACCCGTTGCTGCTGCGGCTGCTGCTAGAAGAAATTGTAGTTTCCACCTGCAGCTCCTGCTGCTGCTGCTGCTGCTGTTGCTGCTGCTGCTGCTGCTGTTGCTGCAGCTGGCCATTCGGCCGCAGTTGAGTGGCCTCTACCGGCTCGCCGTCGACGTCTTCTGCAGCAGCAGCAGGTGTTGCTGCTGCTGCTGCAGGTGTTGCTGTTGCTGCAGCAAGGGCTGCTGCTGCTGCTGCTTCCGCTCTGCTGCTGCTGCTAGCTGCTGTAAGCCGAGAGAATACCTCTACGAAGCTGCGGGTTTTGCCTCCTGCAGCAGCAGCAGCTGTTGCTGTTGCTGCTGCTGCTGCTTTTCCTGCTGCTGCAGGCACTGTGCCGTTTGAAGTTGCAGCAGGCGGCTTCGATGCACCAGCAGCAGCACCGTCCCCAGGGCCTGCTGTTGCTGCTGCTGCTGCTGCTGCTGCTGCTGTTGCTGCTGCTCCTGCTGCTGCTGCTGCTGNGGGCCTGCTGTTGCTGCTGCTGCTGCTGCTGCTGCTGCTGTTGCTGCTGCTCCTGCTGCTGCTGCTGCTGCTGGCGCTACACCATCAGTCTCTCCTCCTGTCTCCCCCGAGGCGTCACCAGCTACAGATGCAGCAGCGGAATCCGCAGCAGAAGCAGCAGGAGCAGAAGCTGCTGATGCAGTTGCTGCTGCTGCTGGTGCAGCAGCAGCAGCAGCAGCAGCAGGAGCAGCAGGAGCAGCAGCAACAGGGGGACCGCCCAAACGCGACAGCAGCACGGGTCGTATCCTGCGTACACCGTTTTGTAATATAGTCTCCTGCTGCAGCAGCCGCAGCGGTACAGGTGCTGCTGCAGGTGACGCTGCGCCTGCTGCTGCTGCAGCAGCAGCAGCAGCAGCAGCAGGAGATCCATCTGGTGCTGCTGCTGCTGCTCCCTTTGGAAGCAGCTGCCGCGGCTTCGGCTTCCTCAGGGGCATAGAAGAATGCAAGAAGCAGCAGCAGCAGCAGCAGCGGCAAGCGGTCCAGCCTCCTATTGCTGCTGCTGCTGTTGCTGCTGCAGAGCCCGGCTCAGGAGGAACATACACAGATGCTGCTGCTGCTGCTGCACGTGCTGCTGCTGCACTATGATCATACGAGCTGCTGCAGCGCGTGCTGCTGCTGCTGCTGCGCGTCTCCTCAGGGGTAAGACGCAGCAGCGCCACGTGGCCCCCGCTGCAGGCGACAGCCAGCCACAGCCCTCCTCGCGTCCTGCAGCAGCAGCAGCAGCAGCAGCAACAGCAGCAGCAGCAGCAGCAGCAAGCACAGCAGCAGAAAGAAATCGCAGACAATTCCACATCAGCAGGCCTTCACAGCTGCCGCTAGTTTGCTAACTAAAGACAAAATGCTTCTGCTGCTGCTGCAGCTGCTGCAGCTGCTGCTGCTGCTGCTGCACTGTTTGCTTTCATACAAGCCACACATGCAGCAGCAGCAGCAGCAGCAGCAGCAGATGTACTAACCAGGAGAAGCCTTGAACTGTGGTGTTCTCGTCGAGTAGGTTAGTGATAACAGCAACGCACTGTCCCTGCTGCTCTTCAGGCTGCGTCTCCTGCTGCTGCTGCTGCTGCTGCTGCTGTTGCTGCTGCTGCTGCTGTGATTGTGGCTGCTGCTGCTGTTGCTGCTGAGGCGCTTTGCCCTTGGGAGGAGTCCCCTTGCCGTTGCTGCTTGCAGAACTGTTGCTGCTGCTACCAGTGCTGCTGATGCTGCTGCCACTGCCGCTGCTGCTGCTGCCACTGCTGCTGCTGCTGCTGCTGCTACTGCTGCTGCTGCTGCTGCTGTTGTTGTTGCTAAGCGAGACACGCCATATGGAGATCACCCCGTCTTCACTTGCTGCAGAAGGCAACGCACATCGCTACTGCTGCTGCTGCTGCTGCTACTACTGCTGCTGCTGCTGCTGCTCCTGCTGCTACTGCTGCTACTGTTGCTGCTGCTGCTGCTGCTGCTGCTGT